TTTTGATAAGAGCGCAAGCAAACTTGTTTTCAACAATTTTATCAGCTAAAAACTGCATATCTATAAAATATTTCATGGTAGATGAAGACTTGCTGGTACATCCATTTCAATCGGGGCCGATTATAACTCTGAATTACAGTTGCATCACTCAATTAGAAAACGGTCAACTCGAACTCAGTTTAATTCGATTGATGAGTTGAATTAGCCAGTTTTATAGAAGAGGAATCTTCTATACCAGGGAAAGATTTACTATACCATTCTATGAATCATATTTTGAAACATGATCTAAAAGGAGTGCTGAAGTATAGAGAGGGAAACTTGAACCTCCTACCAGACAGGCTACGAACGGCTCATCATAGACTGTAACAGACATTGTTGATATATGATCACAGACTATATATAAATAACGTCTTGTTCTAATATATGAATTACTTATTTATTGCATTTTTGAAGGGTTAAGTTAAAGGATAATAAATAAATGTATCCCAAAATCGATAGAACAAAACAATCACCCTGTGATTATCAACAGTAACTACATCATGTTTTACATTTTAATCCTGTAAAGATTATAGGTATGTGAGTGTGGATGAATCAAGAACCACATCCATACTTACACCTACCTCTTTCGAACTCATAACCAAACTTTGGAATATTTTCTCGTAAGATTTTTATATTCTGTTTAATTCTCGAGTTGGTATATCGACATATTTTAGTTCCAAATCAAATTCATATAAATTTGCTTCTAATAAAGTCCAAACGGTTGTAGTTGGATGATCTCTGAACAAGAAAAGAATGAAATGTTCCTTTCCTTATTCAATCGTTGTAGGACAACATTTGAGTAATCGAGTACTATCAATCTATCAAGAGATTAGAAACAACATGGCAGCCAATATATCTACACTCGCGATCTATGTAGACTATCAGAAGACATACGATCGTGTTTGACATGCAGCTCTGTTAGTGAAATTATTGAGTTTTGGTATGCCGATCGAGTTATTGAAAATAATCGAAAGCTGGTTAAAAGATAGGAGAGCCTATGTTGCACTTGGTGAAAAAATGTCAACAATATTCAATATAAATATAGGACTTCCTCAAGGTAGTAGTTTAAGTCCATATTTGTTCATAGTTTTTCACTGCGATTTAATAAACTGTTTAGGAGCACATTCTTGTCATTTTTTCGCAGACGATCTGAGTGTTTTAATTAAGCCACCTATTCTGAAGGAACTAAGTAGCTCAAATGATTCTATATATAGAGAAAGAAAGTACTCGAATCTATAATGAAATATACGCATACTCGAAGAAATGGAAGCAACCAATAAATGTGACTAAAACAGTGGCACAATTATTTCATACACAAGTAAAAAGACCTATAATAAATGTAACAATGAACGGAGAACAAATCGAGTTAGTTAGAGAATTCAAGTACTTAGGGTTCACATGGACGGATAAGTTATCCTTGAAACCTACTGTTGATAAATGTATCGCGAATATTCAAANCTATGACTGACAATACTTTCATGTCGATTTTAGATTTAGTATTTATGCCTTAATCTTATAGAAATAACTCTGTGCTTGTAATTTGCTTTGCAAGTCTCGCCTACCTATTTTTCGAGATTATCATTATGCCAACCATAAATTTTCTCTTATTGTTCGAATCATACGTTTGACTTTGCTTAGGCCTTCCTTGTCATAGAAAGATTCACTCGAGTCTCCTCTTTTTGAATACATATATATATAGCTTGATTTCGATATTGTTGATAGTTTTGTGCAGTTTGATGTATTTGTGCAAAACACTGAAGATTTCTGAATTTCATGTTGTCAGATAGAGCATCAATTACTCTATATAGGTTTTATTTTATATCTTGTCTAAATGTTCGATAAAGTCCGAGATGCACTGAAACGAAACTGTTGCAGTGTCATATTTCAGAATTAGTAAGCTCAATAGCAATGAAAATTATTTCAAATGAAAAAAACCTATTACAATTCCTTCTGCAAAAAATTTCAAACAAAATGGATTCAAAATAGAGGAGAAAAATCACCTTTACTGTATTGACAAAATCTGATCAGGTCTAAATAAATTGATAGACAGATCAATGCTGCATTCAGGTAGATGCCAAGAAAAAAGAAGATTAGATACTTAAAAAGCAAGAGTTTCTCGGAAAAAAGTTCGTGAAAACTTTTTTGAGAAATTCACTAAGTTCGTAGAAGAAATGTGAAACAGACCCATGGAAAAGTATATTGTTCAATACAGAGACAAACAGTCTATTTTTCTATATGAAAATAAAACGTTTGAGTATACCAGTAAATAATAGTCATTGAGAAAACTATCTCAAGGAGAACATGAAAGTTGCTATATAAATTTTTTTTCTGAGTGATTTTCGAAATTCATCAAATTTTTAAACAAAATACAAAGAAAATAAAATGTAAACTGTATGGTTTAATAGAGTATTCAATACTCTACCCAACCGTATTAAAGCAAGAAACTTCGGAGACTTTACATGAATCCTGTAAACTACACGAAAATATCAAAATTAACGTAATAAAGCTGTATATAGTTTTTACAAAATAGCTCTATTGGAATAAATTCATTAAACAAGGTTTAGACTCCAATATCATGTTTTTCAGAGTTTACAGAAAATTTTCTTACAATACAATGACATTTTATATCTCAAAGTTTGAGTCAACATTTTACCGATCACTAGTAATCTGTGAAATCACAGTTTGTTTGACTCCAACTCTACCACAGTTGGATTTTGTAGTTTGACCGATGTCTCAAGAAATATTTTGCATAAAATCGTTGCCGATACTTCTTTTCTGAATTTTAATAAAAAACTGATTTCTAAACTCATATTACTACTTTTCTCACAGCAAAACTTTTCGTTGGAGAAATTGAATTTTCTCTCAAACAATTTGATATATAAACGACATTCTTTTTTGTTTTTTGAAGCTTAAAATGTGAATAAACTTTGGTCTCATCCACCTTTTTTTATTTGGTTCTTGAACTGAGAAAAGTTGGACTTGATACAGACAAATTACCTTTTTTTATCCTAATTATTACGTAAATCCTACTAAAACGAATGGAAGCGGCTTCAATTTAAAACGATCACAAGTTCTACAGTTGTTCTATTGACAGAGCCTTATAAAGTCCCATGAAGATCGTAAATAACATAGACCTCTGGCGTACTTCGATATGCCAAGCTGACATTTTTATCAAACATACTTTTTTCTGGAGCCATTCTCATTTGAAATTCGATATGTTTTTGTCACAGAAAGAGAAAGATTGGTTTCATTGTTATTTGTATATGAGATCTTGTATGAATGTTAGTAGAAACCCAGGATAATGATTTCAGTCACCGTCACGGTCGAAAAAAACAAGATCTGATATCTTTTTCTGTAGTTTGAGGTCAGAAACTAACTTCTGGTATTGGTCGTATTACCACCAGTTTCTATCATATCGTACATGACTAGCAAATCAGCCATACAAGAGCTGAAAATTGATTCTCTGATCGTTTACAGTACGATAAAATACGGTCTTGATACTGCTGCTACCAAACGAGCAAAAAAAATCAAGAAGAGTCGAGCACGACTGACTTTGTTCTACACGGAAAAAGAAGAAAACCATGAACATGAGAGAGATTATTCTAATTGCATTAAAACTTCTATTTATGCACACCTACTTATACTGAATGGTCAAAAGTTCAACCAAGAGATTTTGACTGAAAATGGATTTTTCCTTATTCTGAGCGGTGAGCCCTTTTTTCCACCCTGCGAGTAACAATTACCTCCATAGTGTGAACAACGTATGTTCTATTACTTACGCAAAAACCGAGAAAAGAATTCGATTATGCAAATTGCATCGTAATAAACAATCAAATAGTAGATAAGAATGAGATGAGCTAACCATTTATGTTAAGAAGCAAAAGAACTAGACAGTAAAAGTAGGTATTGATAAAAATATCTTGTCACTGTGTGCGAACAGTTAGTAATATTGAGTCATCTTTATGAATTAATTTCTCCTTGATTAAAAAAATTTACTTATTAAAAGCACAAAATCAACATATATTCTAAATAATATTTTGGAACGCAAAGAACAATATCTAGGTGATTATAAATCAAATCAATTCAACACAGTCGAAAGAAAAATAAAAATAGAATTAAATATTATTTGAATCAATAAATCAATGACAATAAAAGAAATAGCACTATACGTATATTATCAACAGAGATTTTAAATGAATATTTATCATTTGAAAAAAAGAATTAAAAGCTCTTCAATACTAAGCACCTATGTAAAGTGAGCGCTCTTGTTTCAATCCAAATATTGATCACATTATGGTAAAAATAGATTCTTTAGAATTTTCTATGGAAAAATATTTACTAAAAGAAGACAACTTCAATAAAAGAAAAGTCATTATTCCGCAGTGGTTTCAGTTGATCATTATAACGAAGTATTTACATAATCGAGGCTTTCTACTGTAAATAAAAAATATAATTATTGGATAGTCACCTTATGTTAAATAAATAAAAGAAGAGGAATACTAGGAGAAAAAAGTTTTGATTTTTTTCTGACAAATATTTTAATAAATCTAAAAGAAAGCTGTGCTATTAGCAGTATTGCGATGCAGACAAGCACGACAGTGAGTAAGTGGCAAGTTTCAATTTTTCAAAGAGTTCTCAAATATTTGCATAGTTAATCCTATTAAAGTGTTATGCTTGACATTAACTCGACCATGTCGATCTCACAGTAATTAATTTAGTTTAATGGCTTAAGATTTTGAGATAAAAAAAATGAATTAGACATTTGTATGCACGAGTCGACACAATCCACAAACTAATATCTATAAGACACATTATTAAAATGAAAAAAATTTAGAGGAATGGTGGAGTTAACGAAGTGCCACTTTCATCCTTTCCCTAGCCCAAGGATTTAGCTTCGCTACCGTATTCAATAACGGTTCTCTTTGATATTTTATTTAGAAAACGAAAGTTTCATATCTAACATGATGAATGATACATCGAAAGAAACTTCATTTGTAACAAATCCTGAATCAAAACGAACTGGTCGTCGTCAACGTCGTCGTTCTATTATTCACGAATTTTGTTTGAATACATCAACTCATGCTCTACCAGGAATTGCTCGCAGTGAAACTCTTCATAATCGTGTATTTTGGTTGATTTCATTCCTGATATTTACTGGTATAATGATCTATTTTGTAGTTAAATCAATAATGGCTTTTTTCGATTATCCAACAACAATTGATCTTACTTATGATAGTGATTGGCAGCAATATTTTGCAGCATTTAGTTTTTGTAATATGGCGCCATTTCGTCTCGATCTAATGATTGAACCACTTTCGAATTATGCAAATTCTCTCGATCTAACAAATACAAACGATACACAATATGTATATCAATCGAGTTTTATTTGGGATTTTATTGCTGATAAATTAAATAAAAATGAATCATTAGAAGATTACTTTTTTCCATTATCATCAATGGTTCATTTTTGTTTATACAATTTAAAATCATGTTCATTAGACGATTTTATTTCATTTGTATCACCAGTATATGGCCAATGTTATACATTTAATGCTAAATTAAAAAATAGCACAGATAATAGTCTTCGAAGTGGTAATTTTTATGGTGGTGCAGGTATACTCACTCTAGGTCTTTATATTCATAGTTACCAGTATTTATCTTTATTGACTGATGGTAAGTAACAAATAAAATTCATCGAATTATATTGTTTATTCACTCTATCGGTAAAGCTGCTGGTATATTAGCTCTTGTCCATGATAATAGACAAGTACCTACGATTGAAACGAGTGGTGTCGAATTAGGACCTGGTCGAAGACACAAAATATCGTACCGGAGAAAAAAAACTACATTTTTATCTTCACCTTATAGTGATTGTACAAATGAAATATCTAATTCATTGAATGCTATACTTAAAAATTATGATCCAGCAGATTATAATTATTCTCAAACTATTTGCTTTCAAGTTTGTCAACAAATTTTTGTGTAAGTACACATATAGAAAATAAATATAAATATTAAAATAAATTATTCGATGTTAAGTTATGACGAATGTGGTTGTATTAATCCATATGCATGGAATATACGTTCGATTGTTCGACCAGGTACCGATAAAATTAATCTTGTACCGGTTTGCAATATTTCAGACAGTTGTTATGAAACAGCATCGGATAAACTTTTTGCTTCGGCAAAATTTTTTCAGAATTATTGTTCAGATTGTTCACAAGAATGTTTAATAAACAATTTTGTTGTTCAAACATCATCTTCAATGTCGTCTTTTGATTCGATAATATATAGTATTAAAAATTTTGTGGAAAACTCTACTGTGTTATTACCTGATGACTGGTCAACATCATGGCGTCAGTATATTGATGAAAATTATCTAATGGTAAATGTTATACGTGAAACACATGTCGTAGAAATAAATACACAAACATCATCGGTCAGTTTAGTTGATGTTCTTTCAAATATTGGAGGTCACGCAGGCCTATGGATTGGAATTAGTTTTTTATCAATTATGGAATTAATTGAAATGATCTTTCGATTATTTCGATATCAATGGTATTTGATACGAGAAACAATGCAAAGAAGAATTAATGTAATATAATAAAACATAAACCATCATCTATATTATCATTTTAAATCAACACTGAGAGAGTTCAACAGGAAAAATTATCAATTTTAGAGTGTGGATGTGGGATATGAATATGGGATGGTGTGCGGGTGTGGGTGGGGCTAAGGAGTAGACACACACCCTCCCTAGAATGTGGATGTGGATATAGGTGTGTACCTTGTTGCAGTCAACTAAACTCACTCACATTTGTTCTTCCATTTATGTTTCCGTTTACCAGTTTTCTGATCAATATTATAGTAGTATTCTATAGCTCGTTTCATATAAGAAAGAGGCAAGCTCTTGAAGATGAGCGCTTCTGCATCTTCTTCTTCGTAATCTGAATCAGTATTCGGAATGTTCGAGTTTTCTTCACAACCATCGAACCTTCGTATCTGGAATACTGTAGATGAGTGTTGTCTCACAATAGTAAATATAAGAGTGACTTGTGGGTGTGGATGTTAGTGTGAATCTACTCTTAAGCGCAACTCACACCCTCACCCGTAATCTTTTCGATAGCTTGTATAGATTATTATACTTTGTTTCTGATTTCTGCTGAATAAATTGAGATCATTTAAAAAAACTATAACAAAGTCAAAGCCATCTGATGAAGTCCCTTAAGGAAAGTCGTAATCTGAATCATGGCATGCTCGATCTCCTCACTCTCATCCGACGCTCTAGCAAAAAAAAGCGAAAAACTTCATTGTAATTACAATATTTATGATGAAGAGAAAAAATGAAAAATGCTATTCCAATCTCGCCTGCAGTATATTCAAGGAACATGGTTTCAAGAACGAATCGTAGGGTAACTAAAGTGCCAACTGGCAAAAAAAGAATCAGAGGGGCTGCTCCTATGTTTTCAGTTTAGAGTCATAATATGATTAAAATTGACCGTTAACAATAGTCGTTTTGTGTCCATTGAATAAATCATTAATTTGCGTATGAAAATAAACGTTTGACAGTTTTAATACATTTTCTCAATATATAGCTCTAATCAAAAACCTATTGTTGTTGAATATGCGAGTCTGACAGTAAAATTTAGTTTAATCGACCAAAATTTCATTTTCATATAATTTAAAAGTGATATTCGTAATCAGCGTAAAATTTTGTATCGAATGATATGTTTCGTTTAAAAAACACAAAAAAGAAATTCTACAGATACCTTGGGGAGATAGGTTTGCTGAAATCTGATAGATGAGTTGCATAAAAGTCAGTTGGAAAATGTATTCTCCATGATATTCTTCTTATATCTACGTGTTTTTTATGAAAAAAAAATGGCGAACGAGGGTGTGGGTGTGAGTGTCATTATTCTTCTCATTACACCCGCCCATACCGACACCACACCCACATCTTTAATTATTTTCTTGTCAATCGTATGTGAATTATATTATATTTACTGATATATATTAATAAAAAAATGAACAAAAATTAATTAAACAAGTAATCTTTTCAAATTAATTACTGAGTATTTTTGATTTAATTACGGAACGTTGCAAATTATTTACTATGCTAAAATTAATTTTTTAGTTAGCAAAAAATATTGAACGTATAATAAAAAATATACTGAGCATTCATCATAAAATACTGAGCAATAAAATGCAAGCCAATGGTTAATATGACATTGTGATTGTCTTTTTGTTTGTCTGCTTAAACATGCATTGTGTGTTTTTCTTTTTTTACGAAAACATCTTATGAATGCCCTTCTGCTTTTTTATTATTTATGCACAAAAAAAAAACGTTTGTAAACTCTAAATGAAATTATTCTACGTAGCGTATATTATATTTCGATATGTCAAACTGAAAGATCAATGAAATATGAATGTTGGTGATAAACCAGATTTAGAATAAAAAAATCGATGTGTCTATTTGATTTTGTTATATGAAATAAGAGACATTTCGAAAATATAGAAAATTTCGTTGTTTAGCAACGAATATTGATAATGTTTTACACTAGGAACATTCTGGTTTAATGTGAAGAAAATGTAATGTAACAATGCCGCATGTTGATGATTCGTCGTTTTTCGTGTATTGCTTGAATGTGAAATAGGGTGTGGGTTTGGGTGCAGCAAAGACCACAATGCACACCCACCCTTCAAGTAGGCCAACAATAAACAAAGATTGTGATTAGAAACTTCGGTCCATTTGCTCCATCCTACTTGATTTGCAGGTCTTTCAAAAATTCTCTCATTATTCTCAGACAAAAATAGAGACAAAGAATATTCGAACATATATTTGGAAAGAATAGAAAATACTGATTTTAAATAACAACTTTTGACTTTTATGATTGCTGTTAAACAACCAAAAATGATCGTCTTTTTTGTATGAAAACATTTTTGGCAAGGATTAACTATATTATATATATATTCGGTATAGTCTACGGAATGTCAAGATCATCACAGAGTAGAGACACTCGGTTGTAATTTGATTGCGAAGTTTTGATTGAGTGACATTTTATCATCGATGACGAAAATCCATGGTGATTCCACTGAAATTGTAGAACAAATCATTGATATTCTAGAGAATATTTAGAGATTTCCTACAAGTATGATCTACGAAACAGGAGTGAGTAGTTGCAATTATGAGTGAAAATCATTGTATCCCTCATCACAATCTCTGAGAAACTTTGTTGAGAAGTCTCTCAATACGTATGGTAATAAGAAAAAAGAATCTTGTTGTGTCTACTACCATCTATGATACCTAGGATCTAACTTTTTCATTATATATTTGAACATTGACCGTAGTCAAAGTAATAAATAATAATCCAAAAAATATGCAAGACATTTTTTTAATGATCTGTCAAAGTCTCTGATGAAAAAGTAATATTTCTTGTTATTTCTTTCAAAACTGAATCAATACAATTTTTCAATAATCATACAATATAATACTCTTTATGTGAAGTCTTATCAATTCTATGTTCAGAATTACATCTCTACAATGTTGAATTGATGCTTAGAAATTTTTTTCTAGCCTGAATATGAAAAAGTATAATAAAGTTCATTTTATTTTTTATAATGTATTAGTTTTTCATTTTCGAATGAAATGATATTGTTTTTAAATTGTCTTTTGGATGTGTTTCAAAATCAATAACTAATACTTTTTGAATAACGTCTTTTGGCAAAACAAACCAAATAAATTCTTTATATGCATCTGGAATATTTAATGGTGGATCGATTCGAAAATCAATATTATAAACATATTCTGGTATAAGGTTTGCCATTGATTCAGCTTGCTCGATTGGATCATCGGACAATGAATTTGTATTTGAATGAATGGCTTTTGAGTTCTATAGAGAAAAAGAAAGCATATATATATAATTACTGATAGAAAAATCAAGTTTAGTTACCCAACGTTCTACTTGTTGTATTTGAAATTCCTCATTCGTTGTATAATTTTCATTAGCCATTTGAAGACTATAAAATTGAGAAAAATGATTTCCCGATGGCATAGTACGAGGATGCCAAACAGCCGTATTTGCATCATAAGTATACTGAAACAAACCAAAAAACTGCAGGTAGATTCTCTTAAATAGAACTCGTTGAAAAAAAATTTACCAACGATAAAAACTTCCATCCATCATTAGCAATAAATTCAACTGCGTTTAAAATATAATCAACTTCTTCATCACTTATAAAATATGATAAATTAAATCGAGTAAAACCAGGTTTCATTAATCTAACATTAGGAATTCCATTCGATTGACTGCTAAAATTTATATGAAGAATTTTTTAAAGTTTATTTATTAAAACTTACCTTTCATCTTCTGTAATAAATTTTGTAAAAATTTCTGCTGTTTTATCATCAATTTCAAGTAAATCCTAAATAGAAAAAAAACGAATCTTGATTCTCAACAAAACACAAACGAAACTTGTTCTTATGTTTCACTTACTAAGACATAAGGTCCAGCACACGAGCATCCTGATCGTACTTGAATACCAAATAAATCATTTAATAAAACACAAACAAAATTATGATGTAAATATTTGTCAAATAACGATTCATAAATTAGAAATGAAAATATTCCCAATCGACGAACAGTTAATGATCCTAGTACAATTAATTTTTGATGATTGCGAAATCTTTGGCAAAATTTCGCAACTAGTTCATCTTCACGTGCTTCAATTGTTTCACAACCAACACATTCTTTTAAATGAAAAACTAAACCAGCTCGAATAGCACCAAGAATATTGGGTGTTCCACCTTCTTCTCGTGTTTCAATATCTTTTACATATTCAGTATTTGTTCGAGTTACAAAATTTACTGTACCACCTCCTACACCCGATGGAACTCTATTGGTAAAAAGTTTTTTCTTCGCAATTAAAATACCTGAATGCAAAAAAAAAACAACACAAATTTGGTTTAATATAAGCTCAATTTGTTTTTCAATAAAGTCAAAATCAACCTGGTGTTGATGGTCCACCAATAAATTTATGTGTAGAAATAAAAACAGCATCTTTATAAGCCTTTTCTGATGGATTCATATCAATTTTAACATAAGGTGCTGCTGCTGCATAATCCCAAAAAATCCACCCATCATATTGATGAACAAGTTTTGAAATATGATGAGTATCAGTTCGAATACCAGTTACATTGCTAGCAGCATTAAATGCACAAATAATATGTTTTTGAATAGTATTATGATAATGTTTTAATTGTTTTTTTAAATAATCTTGATCAATAAGACCTTCTTTTGTATTAGGAATTTGTATAACCTATAAATAAATATAATGTATCATAACTTTCTAAATATGATTTTCAAGAAAAATTTACCTCAACTCCTGTTTCTTTCCATGGTAAAATATTTGAATGATGCTCAAATCTACTAATAAAAACAACAGTTTTTCTTTGAACATCTTCATTTCTCAGTTGTAAAACATCGACAAGTTTATTAATAGCAGCTGTTGATCCTATGATATTATTAAATTATTTCTTTTACTATTCATTGATTGAAGAATATTTATTTATTTACCTGATCCAGTAAAAATAACAACATCATCATCAGTTGCATTGACACATTGTTTAATAATTGTTCGTGATCCTTCACGAAATTTTGAAGTTTGTAAGGCACATGCATTATTTTCGCTATGTGTATTAGCATAGCTAAGAAAATAATAATATTTCTCATTTGAAAATTAAAAAATTATTCATACTAAGGTAAGACGTTATTCATCATGCAATACTCGATAAATATTAGACCACGTCCAGACGCTGTATAATCAGCATAGATAACTGTAGAAGAAAAATGTAACTTTGTTTTTATAATAATAAAAAAAAAAAGAAATAATCATACTTTGTCGAGATCCCCATGGAGTATTGATTCGAAGATTTTTACCAATAATATTTGAGTCGATATATTGAAGAAGTTGCTTTTTGTCTAACGAGAGAACATTCCTAACTGTTAATTGTCGATCGAAGTGATATTTTGCCCGTAAGTAGGACTCAGTGAGACTAGGAAAAGCCTAAAAGGATTCTTTCCCATAGACCTTCCTTCTGGAGTTATGATCATTTTACGGACTTTCCACCTAAAGTTTTGCCCATAAGTAGGTCTTATGATCTTTAGGGTATCCTGCAAGTTTCAGTTAAAATGGATGGTTCCTTCTCGAGATATTGAATACTAAAGAAAAGCCCTTTTTATGAGCTTTTTTTTTTGAATATTCAATGTCTCGAGAAGGAACCATGCATTTTAACTGAAGCTTTCAGGATACCCTAAAGATCATAAGACCTACTTATGGGCAAAACTTTAGGTAGAAAGTCCGTAAAATGATCATAACTCCAGAAGGAAGGCCTATGAGGACGAATCCTTTTAGGCTATTCCTAGTCTCACTGAGTCCTACTTATGGGCAAAATATCACTTCGATCGGCGATTAACAGTTGGGACTGTTCCCTCGTAAGTAATGTATTTTAAGATGATGTATGTATGTATGTTTNTGAATATGTAAAGTGGACTATGATGTATTCAATCGAAAAATCTAAACGACTTGAAATCATAATAGTTTTAAAATTCAAATTTTCTGCTAAGAGTCTTATGATAATTTTTCAGAAGGTATGGTACCTCGTAGTTCCTTAAAAGTCTGTATACGGACGAATCCTTTATATCCGATATTGTAATCACTGAGCTCTACAAAATAGCAAATACCTGATACGAAACGGAGCGTAACATCTGAGAATCTTTCCTCATTAGTCTTTTTATCGATTGGTTCTTGAATGATCTTATCATTTAATCTATATGCATAATGTCAAGTGTCTTTGTATCTGCTATAGGGTGGGTGTGGGAATTCTTTTCAACCACACCCAAAATGGTACAAGAATCTTCAAAAATAAATGTTATCTTCAGAGAGCAACATGGTTTATGTCTCCCACTTTCTGCTATATATTACTTTTTAATGCTTTCTCACAAGTAAAAAAGAATGTTTTTAGTGGTTTAGATTGTCATGATATAGTTGTGAAGCAAAACAGATACGATATTTGGAATCAGCATAAAAAACTGCACTGTGAATGCAAAAGAAAAATACGAAAAATTATTCGTAAGATTTTAAAAATCACCAATGGTCAATATATGTGCCATCAAAGTCGGGTAATATTGCTCTTCTACTAAACGAATAATATCTCATTTTTAGAATAAACAGTATTGTTTATGCATTTTTGCTACCTGCAATGGTGACAGTTTTCCGATGGTTCTTCCATTATGCGCAACATCTCTTTCTACTCCGACCTTTTCGAATCGCTCCTGTTTTTTGCATTATTCAAGCATCAAATAATAAAAACCATAATCTATCTGTACAGTTATCATTGCGCATAATATAAATGTTTAATAGATCGCTAAGAATGATATTATATTGTCGCTAGTGATAATACAGTTTTTATAGAAAAAAATATGTTGACTTTCAATAACATCTTTTAGCGTCGCTTTTCGCTGAGCTAGTCAAAAAGCTTTCACATTTCAATTTAATATTATGTTTCGGAAAGATTTTTCACTTAATACTGTCTAGAATATATCAATCTATTAGATGCATGATGAATTCTAATGTTAATTTATGCAATCGAAAGAATATTAATGATGATAGGATGCCGATAAAAATAAAACGAAAAGTTTTACTAAAATAAAGTATTAACTAATTGAATAATCTATTGTGATTTATTCTTTGAAAAGTTGAGCAAAAGTCAACATTGGAACAAGAAATTTCGGCCTATTCTTTTTGTCAAGATCAAAAGTCACCTGTAAACATGATATATGAATATGATTCTTTATGAAAATGTCAATTTTTATTCATTTTGTTTTATTCTTTCATAGCATATATATTCAATATAAAATTTATGCCTTGAAGATGATGTGTCAAAAAAATAGTACTGATTAAAAGAAAGTTATAAAGAAATTAAATTCCTCAGAATATTCTCATAATCCAAATATTCTAAAAAAAAACAAAAGTGTAACTTTTCAGCGCTGATATGAGAGTACAATAATAAATGTTTGTTTAGTCAATAGAGAGCAATAGAGCAGCATATTATCAGCAAAACGACATACCTTCAAGCTTTCCATAACGATTCCGGTATTTTTCTAATTGGAATTTTTTGACCCACTGTTAATGCGTCGTAGCTCAGACCAATAATGTCGTGGAAGACTCGAAGACGTTGCATTTTGTTGAGAATGTTCTGCTTCAGCGTTCTCCATTATCTCAATGAACTTTTATTGCCAGGCTTTGAATGCTGAAAACTTAGATCTTCGATTTTCATAGAAATCCTGTTTTTTGGGGAATTTGTCGAGGAATTTAATTTTCTCATAAATTTCTTAATAACAGTTTTCTCTATTGAAATCACTATTACACAAGGAAAAGAGTTAAAATTATATGAAAACATTTTTTTTTTATCCCTTGTTTCTTTCGATAGTAATGCTGACAAAGACTGCAATGCAATAACAATATACTCTTCTGTTCCTTGCAATGCAGTATTTGTCAACGTGATCATCCGACGAAAAAAGAAGAGAAAAATGTTTACCTAGAATTCCAACTCCTTTTCTTTTGTGTTTGAAAATGATATTTTGGTCACATCGAATACTTAAATGTATTCTTTTGAATAAAAGCAGAAAAATCACAAATGAATTTGTATTATCAGCATTATCATTAATTAAATGTATTTCGTTTAACAAGATAAATATTCTTTATAGTATTTATTGTAAGAGCCAAACATTGAATTTGCACTTGATCGGATAATTTTGACGGCCACTATATGTGAGTTCAGAAACCATTCGATAATAATCTTCTGTTTCAATTGAAATATTAATAACGATATTATTTTCTAGAAAAGAAATCTTTTCAAGTCATCTATATAATCATGATTCCATAGCAAGTGTATCAACAGTTAGGTTATAAAACTCCAAACTTTTTGTTTATGATAATATTCAATTGTCATAGCTATTTTTCATAGAGCTGATGATGACGAGAACAATTTGATATACATATTTGGATGATTCATGATAATAGTGGCATATAATGCTGTTCAAAGTATTTTCAATAGAAACAGTCAATAATTTTCTGCAGTTGTATTGAAGTTTGTACGATTGAAGAATCATATCTTTTTGTTTTCACAGCTCATATCAGATTCTATTGTTTGATTAAAATAAATTCTAAAAATCAGATCTCATCGACTAAACAGAAATATCCTAGTGGATGAGATTAGATGTCAGAATAAAATGAAACATTATTCTTTTATACATTTTTTCTTTATGAATAAAATTTAACCTTTTATAAAAAATAATTCATTTTAACTATTTGTGATTTTTTTTCCAAATTGGTGATGATTTTGAACCCTTAGTATGTTTTACTACATTGTTGCACATTATTATAAAAAGAAAATTTGAGAAAATCAATGATTTCTTATCATTATGTATTCAAAATTATTTTCATATATCTCTTGTGTAAACGATTTGTGGATGTTCATGTGTTTTACCAAGAACAAATTGGTCAATTGATGACAAAATAGCAAAAAATTCATTTTATTAAATTGATAAAGCCATGCAATACAAATTGAAAACACTTTTAGCAGACAAAAGAATCTGTTTTTCTGTATTCATTAAGTAGTTTATCAAAAATGAGTAAATCTAGCATTGTTCTGTCTTTAGTAAAAATGCATTCGTTTAGGAAATTACTATTCAAATTTAGTGGAAGTATATGCAGAGAAGAAAATCAGTTTTATTTATGAAAAAGAATACTGGCTTTTAGTGAATAGTGCCTATGGTCATCAATTTTGATAATACCAATAATAAGTTTTAGATGAATTCTTTTTTGAATAAAATGTGGGACATAATAATTATTCTGATATATATCAAGGACTCAATGTGATTTTTATTAGATTTTTCATAATCGACTATTCGGTTTTTGAAAGTATTTGATTGTGACTATGTTTAATCGTATTTGTATTTCATAAATTCTTAAACTTATGTTCATCGATATTTTGTGTAGCATGTTAAACTTTGTCAATTTCACCTAACAGTTCTAGATGATCATTATAGGCATCTTTCATAGTCATACAATCGTTATAATTACCGTATTAATAGTTGAATTCATATCATTTGAAAACATAAATTGATATTGTTGATGAATGATAAGAGTATTTCAAAGAATTATCATTACTAGGTCATGGTACCAGTAGAATTCATTAAAAGGGTCTTAAGAAATCAACTAGATAACTAATGAACAAATCTCACCGTTGACAACGAATATTTGATGAAAAACAAAAGTAAAACATTCATAAATGAAGTCTGGCTTGTGTGCGGGTGTGAAAAAGGTTCAGAAGATAAGATCTGCTTACACCAGTACGCACAACGTTGCGTTAGGAACTTTTCTGTTTGTTATACCTTAATTGTGATGACATTATTAAGGCCGCTCCCCTCAAAAACTGATCTCGACAAACAAAAACTCGAACAGTTATTGTATAGTTGATCAGGTGATTCAAAAAACTTACGAGTGATACTTATTAAATTGTCTATATTGTCTTTTGAATGATATCCAATATGTGAATTAATATCGTTTTAAGTACAGAAGAGGATCTTTCGTTAACTGTTGAACTTGCCAATGATTAAAATCTCTAATAGAAAAGTTTTGCATCTTTTTTTGCGATGCTCGATAATTCAAGTTATGCAACAATTCGAGTAAACATACATAGTTTTATAAACATTTTTCAAGTTTATGTAAAGCATGAATAAGAAAGAAAATGTTTAAATCCTATAGAATTGTAATTAATCATACAAAAATTGACTCTAATTATTCTTCGTCAATTTTCGGACGAAATGGTGCTGCTTTACAATTTTTTTCTCGATTTTGTTCAAAATCAATAATCATTTTTCGAATAATATCTTTAGGTAAAACAAACCAAATAAAATCTTGATATTCATCTGGAATATCTAATGGTGGATCAGCTTTGAAATCAATATTTTCATAAACATAATTCGGTATATTATTTGCCATTGTTTTAGCTTCACCTATTGGATCATTTGAAGATGATTTTATCATTGAACGAAGAATATTTGAATTCTAAAAAAAGAGAAAACATATGTTTAAATCTAATTATAGAAAAATAATATTTTGTTACACGAGGTTCTATTTGTTGTGCTTCAAAAATTTCTTCCATTATACCATTTTGATAAGTTATTCTATGAATATTGTGATATTGAGAATTAGAAGACGCTGTACGAAGATACCAAGCAGCGGTTTCTGAATTATAAGTATACTAGAATGAATCAGGAAATAATCGTTGATTGTGAATAGAACTTATTACAAAGTAAATTTTTACCATTGGTAAAAATTTCCATCCATCATTTGCAATAACTTCAACTGCATTTAAAATATAATCAACTTCTTCATCACTTATAAAGTATGATAAATTAAATCGAGTAAAACCAGGTTTCATTAGTTCATTTTTATGAATTTTATCAAGTCGAGCACTAAAAATTTCTATGAATCATTTCGAAAAATTCATTTACTAAACATTACTTTTCATTTGCTGTTATAAATTTTGTATAAATATCTGCTGTTTGATCATCAATATTAAGTAAATCCTAAATAAAAAGAAAACAAACAAAGCTATTACATTATAGAATAAATTCTTCGTCTATTTCACTTACTAAAACATAGGGACCAGCACATGAACATCCTGATCGTACTTGAATACCAAATAAATCATTTAATAAAACACAAACAAAATTATGATGTAAATATTTTTTAAATGATGGTACATATACAAGAAATGAAAATATTCCTAATCGAGGAGCAGTTGCTGATCCAAGTACATATAATCTTGGATGTTTTCGAAATCGTGTAAAAAATTTTGCAACTAATTCATCTTCACGTATTTCAATTATACGAAAACCAACAGATTCTTTTAATTGAAAAACTAAACCAGCACGGATAGCACCAATAATATTAGGTGTTCCACCTTCTTCACGTGTTTCAATATCTTTAACATATTCTGTATGAGTTCGAGTAACAAAATTTACTGTACCGCCTCCCACATAAGATGGAATGGGATTAGTAAAAAGTTTTTTCTTAGCAATTAAAATACCTTATAATGTAGAAATAAAAAGAGAGAAGATTATATTATTATTTGATTATTTAATATTAACCTGGTGTTGATGGTCCACCAACAAATTTATGTGTAGAAATAAAAACAGCTTCTTTATAAGCAGTTTTTGATGGATTCATATCAATATTAACATAAGGTGCTGCTGCTGCATAATCCCAAAAAATCCAACCATCATATTTATGAACAAGTTGTGAGATTTTATCAACGTCAATTCGAATACCAGTTACATTACTAGCAGCATTAAATGTACATATAATATGTTTTTTAGATTGATCATGATAATATTTTAATTGATTTCTTAAAAATTCTTCATCAATTAAACCTAATTTATTATTAGGAATACGTATAACCTATAAAAACAATCCAATTTTCTTCATGAAATTAATCGATTATATAGTTTCTATACCTCAATTCCTGTTTCTTTCCATGGTAAAATATTCGAATGATGTTCAAATGTAGTTATTAAAACAACAGTTTTATTTCGAATTTTTTCATCTCGTAAGTTTAAAACATCAACAAGTTTATTAATAGCAGATGTTGATCCTAGAAAATTCTCGATTATTCTCGATTGACAAAAAACAAAATAATTATTATTTATTTACCTGATCCAGTAAAAATAACAACATCATCATCGTTTGCATTGACACATTGTTTAATTATAGATCGTGATCCTTCACGAAATTTCGTAGTTTGTGATGCACATGCATTATGTTCGCTATGTGTATTAGCATAACTAAAAACTATTTATATTTCTTCAGCTTTTTTTATATCGAAATATTATTCTTACTAAGGTAAAACATTGTTTATAATATAATTTTCAATAAATATTAGAGCACGTCCAGATGCTGTATAATCTGCATAAATAGCTGTAAAAGAAAAATAAATCTTTATATAATACGATGAGGTTTATATCGTACTTTTTCGAGATCCCCATGGAGTGTTGATTTGTAGATTTTTACCAATGATATTTGAATCGATATATTGAAGAAGTTGTTGTTTATCTGACAAAGAAACAATAGAACTCTTCTTTAAAACTGTTGTTATAAATATTTCAGATCGATTAGGGTTTAGATGCGACGAATGAAATTGGTCTCGATGACAATCTCATCTACATCCCACACCCTTCAAAAATTTTTGTTGTTCTATCAGTAATATAGAGAGAATTAAATCGAAAAACTTTGAAAGTCGCTTTTTTATTTACCTGTCACATTGAGTTTAGTTATTGTTCTCTCTTTCGATGGTGTTTTAATCGTATTATTCAGTTCATTCTTTTTTACGGTCACGGGTCGAGTTTTCGGTGCTGAAGATGGTTCTTGAACTTCTGTAAAGCTGCTTGAAAATAAAAACAGAAGTATAAGTCTTAATTTATTTTAGTTCAAATGTTTCTTTAGATAAATGAATAGGGAAATGAAAAGCACATAAGATTTCGATTACTAAAAATCAATATTTAATTGCACATTGTGAGTTAGTAGAAAGAATCCCGAAATGCTTGGTAATAAAGAAAAAATAAGATAATTAACAAAAAATGTTTATAAATCAATACAAACCTGTATTTTTGAAGAACTTTAAAAGTCATACTTATGCAATTTTCAATAATCTGTAAACATTTTTTATTCGTTATTCGCATGCTTATCAATGGAAAACCTTCTGTTCGAAAGATATGAGTCAAGTATGCATAACAGGGAAGTTTTCAGTTTTCATATTGAAAAATACCATCTATTTAGATTGTATTCAGTCAGTAGTGTCATATTAGAAAGCTGATAGTACCTGAAAAAATCTTCAAAATGAAGTAGAACTACTAAGTCTTTTCTTGAATCAACTATTATTCTACGCTCATATAAATCGTTCAGTTGTCGACACTTACAAATCGTAGTAATTAGATACATCAATTTGTTTTTTTGATGATTTTTCAACTGATTTCTTTGCATATGTTGTTGGGGTATTCCAAGTTATTCTTTCAGATGAATGCATCCGTGTAGAATGAAGTAAATTCGATTTCGTATTCGAAAAAGAAATGGGAGGTAATTGATTTTCATTTTCTTGTGTTACGAGTGATGATGTTACTGTTGACCATCGCTTTGGCGATTTATTTGTAATTAATGTTGGCGATGTACTCCTTAGGGGGACTCTGCCTAGTACTTTTTTTGTAGAAATTGTTTGACGTGGATTATTTTTAGTTGTTATCGAAGAAGGAGCATTGAAAGTTGAAGTTGACGAACCTAATTCTGTAAGATCTGATGATGGTACTGTATGAAATCGATTTCTTCGCGTTAACATTCTACTTAAACAATAGGACTATCTAAAATTAATTATTCGTCCTCAACGCTATTGTAACGATTTCTTGCATACAAAGCACACACTTATATACGCATAGCTGCGTGACAACAGCAAAAATGTAAGACAATATTCCAAGGACATGATACAGAGAAGGAGAATAAACTTTCAGGATCCAATAACTAGAAAGGTAAATACGTGAACGTAAAAGGTATTCCCTTGGGTTGTTACAACTAAGATAAAAGAAATATTCTTCATGAAAAATATTTGAAAAAAAGCACAATTTGAGAATATCTAAACGACAGAAAATAAATACCAGTCGAGTTTTTTTTCAATTCTACTTTTCTTGTTAGCATGCACAACAGTAACTATGAAGAAAACAAATTAAGAAAAGAACAACAAACATAAACTGATTAAGTTAATTCTTCGTATCAAATACGAGTAAAAGTGTACCTAGTAAAAAATCAAACTAATTCACTCACTTTCTACTTAAATGATTGTGAAAAATTTTACATGAAAACTGAAGAACAGAATTAACCATAAGCAATGGAAATTAACCCGGTGATATATTTTTCAATCTTGAATATTTAATTATGAATTTCATTGCCTGGACTTTTTGAATGTATTTATTAGACTTCTAAAATCAAGATTATTTTTTGCATAAAATACATATTGTACATGTTACTATTCACCTAAGTTCTATTAAAAGCTAAAGGTAAAATGTTTGCTTTAAGTTTAACATTTAAAAAAAAAAGATGATTTTGTTGTGATCTTATTTTTCATTATTTAACAATGTTTGAATGAGCGAAGACCCATCTAATCATGTACCTTATTTTAGTCACTTGTCAACTCGTTTTTGTTATATAGAATACCGTTTAAATGTCATTCATGATGAAGTACATTTATTGTCATGTTTTTTTTTTCTAATGAAACATTTCATCTCGTTTGCATAAATTTAAAATGAATTCTTTGAGTAAGACGTATGCAGATAAATTCAGATTAGCAACAAAAAATACATTCAATTATGCTTATAATCGCAGATAATCTTCAATTGAATGTATTAGAATCATATTCTATCATACAGTTTGTATATAAGTAGAAATTTTCTTATTTATTTACGGTGATATTAGAAAATTTTCAGATTAGAAGTACGAGTGACTGAGTAATGGCGGAATTGAGATTTTAGCATTATTTTCATAAAAAAGAAAGAGGTAAATCGATGTTTCCAATTCGTTTTAATTGTATTCAAAAGAAAAGCGGAGAAAATAAACTACATACATCCGCCTCGCATGTTTTTCCTCAATACACGTCGCATTCTTTCATTTTGATTTCCGTCTACATGAAGAAAAAAGAAATTAAGATAACAACATAAGCTTTTTTCTTTCCTTATTTTAACAATTGGTTGTTTTGACAACCTTACAGATTTCTTTTCCTTTTATATTCTCATCAAGAATTGACATATTAATTTCATAGAATGATTTCATCACCGATAATACAAACTGTTGAGACAACAACTGATGAACATCTTAAAATAAATGTCTACGATGATGCTGGATATTTACCAATTCATCGTGCAGCTTATAATGGACATGAATTAGTACTCAAGAATATTTTAGAAAAAGCTCAACGACGCGCTGAACTGCAAATACAACTCGAAGCAACAACACATGATATTAATAAATTAACTTCATTACTTTTAGCAACATCAGCTGGACGTTTAGATATTATTGCTTATCTTTTAACATATATCCAGTAAATTATAATGCAGTTGATGCTGATGGACATGGTAATCATTAAATGCATATTTCATCATTCTTTATAGTTTTATTTCTTTTTGAAACCTTCCGTTTATATATATTCTGTTAAGTGTAAAGAGAAAATGTTTTCGTTTAGAAAGACAAATAATTTATAACAAGAAAGATTATTCTCTCTCAGAGTACTCGACTTATTTCAATGACAAGTAAGAGCACAATCAGTCAGAATCACATCAAGAGCATCTCATAAAATCTATATATATATTGTTCAGTATCTGTGTGTCTGTCTGTGCCCGGTCAAAGGTTAAAAGTCAAATAAGGCTATAAGGGGATAAGGCAATAGGGCAATAAGGCTACAAGAGATATAAGGCCAAAGACTATACGGGTTATTAAAATGTGTACGAAATAAGATTATGAGGCCGTACGTTAAAGAAGAAAATTGCCGTGCAGTATGCACGGGCTCGCGCTAGTAAATAAATGTTTAATACATTCAACAATTTTTTCTCTCTCTACAAACAAAAATGTTCAAATAGATTTGAATCTTTTTTTTAATATTTTGAGGGTATGGCTGCTATTGGTGCTCTATCTCCAAATGAACGTACACTTCGTTATATTATCGATTTACCTATATCATCAACTGAATATAATGTTTGGAAACCATTATTTAAATTATTCGTATCAATAAGAGAAGATGAAAGTAGTGTTTGTGGTTGTGTGCTTGAATTGTTAACACGTCGTTAATCGGATAATACAACACAAGTAAATTCTTATTGGTCACCAATGCTTGAAAATGGTTTATTACCAACATTAGTACAAATATTTAATCTATCAAAAATTGATGATGTATGTACTTATAAGTGCATTTTTATTTGTATTTAATATTTTAAATGAATTACCTGATATAAAAATTGAATTTGATAAAATAAAAAACTCATTTAGTTCAATGTTAAAACATTCACGTTCAACAAATAATCAAATACTTACATTATTAACTCAACCTCAAACAAAGTATTATATATTTCATCCTTTTCTATCATTAATTCGACGATTATTAGTATGAAAATGACGAAAGTCGTCAATCAAACACTTGGTCAAACAGTAACTGTTGACATGACTTTCAGTGTAATATGGATTCTTATGCTGACTGTGAGCAGACTTTCCGATGCACTTTTTTTAATGAAAAACTGAATATATTCGACAGCTATTTGATCGCGGTATCTTCGTAATCAACATAACTGAAGTAGACTTTTTTGTGAAGAACATACAAGAATCTATTAGTTAGACAAAAACAATAATTGCTCTTGTTAAACTCATTTAACAACTTTCATCCTAAGATCGAAATCGATCTATAAAGAATTACGAAGAATAGGTTCAACTCTCTGTTGACAAATTGTTATAAGAATGATAGATCATGAAAAAAACTCACTGACAACGATAATGATGTTTGAATAAAAACAAAATTCTCAACTGATTACGACTACTGTCATATTAATAAATGAGTAAACGAACAATATTGTTTTTCTTAATATTCGAACAATTTTCATACATTGGAATAATGTTTTTGCCAAGCCTTGATTTCTAAAGATTATGATTTCGATGTCAATTTATTGATATCTATAAATTACTCAGAATCTACTATATAATGAGACAAAATTTTGCTGGTGTGTTCTAAAAAAGAAGACAATCATTCATCTAAACAATGGAGTGAATATGATAATGATCATAGAGCTACACAGAGTGGTGAGGTAACGCAAACACCAAAACACATCGAATCGTATATTCTACAAAACAATTTCGAATGTAATAATTGATACTGATAAAAATCAATTTTCATCAGTGAGAAAAGTCAAGTACTGGCCACTGTATTATATTTAATATGAGATTAATTCGTTTCTAACAATATTCTTTTTCTTTGCTACAAATAGAAGGTCTAACATTAGCTTTTATTTAATTTATTCTCATGTTCTTCAATGTGTTTTAATTCAGTTGTTATTCCATGTCAATGTTTTTATTTCTTCATTATTCACTATCGATGATCGATATAAATTCTTTTCATCATGATCACGATTGCGATTTGGCAATGTTCGAATAAGTTTATATTAATATGATGTAGATTATTTAAGACATTCATTAACAGAAAACTTCTTAGAAATTTTTATTAAAAAAATACATTCTTATCGAATGAATCTAATTGAATAGATATGTTAAGTGATTTTTCCGTATTTTCCTAGTTCATTGAATAAATGGAGTAATGTAATGGCTATATATAAATTCACAAATATTTGAAAATTAACATTAAATGCAACAAGATAGAAAATAGACTTATTGAATCTCTGTTTTTATTATATATATTTTAAAGACAATGTTAAAAGAAGAACAAAAAAAAATCATCTATGAATATCCATCAAAAATATTTGTTTAAATTGATGTTTTAGGTCGATTTTTAAGATAATCTGCAATTCTTGGCTGTTTTTCAACTTCTTGTCGATTTTGTTTTAATGATGGATAATTATCTAAACAATTTTCATTTATTCCAAGAATAGTTTCAGAAAAATTATAAAAATATAAATCTGCCCATGTTAAATGATTACCAACGAAGAATGAATCACCATTACCAAATTCTTTAATTAAAACATCAAGATTTTGTAAATGTTTATGAAGTTCTTCACTAAAGAATTTTTTACTCAGTTCTTCTCTTTTAATATCATTTTCTTCATCGAAAACTGGTATTAATTTTGTTATTAAATCTTCAATTGTATCAACGACAGCATCAACTTTGGCTTGTTCAAAATTATTTCTACCACCTAATTGAAATTGTTTAGCAAGAAAACGAGCAATAGCTCTTGATTGTACTAATTTTGTACCATTATATTCAAGTACAGGCATTTCACCTAATGGCATTTTAGCTTTATCTAATAACCATTGATCATCTTCATAACGAATATCTTCATATATTTGACCAGCAGCAGCAAATATTAAACGTGATACTTCACCACGACCACGATTATTAAAATAATAAAGTTTGTATGATGTTGACATAAATGCTGTTAGAACCAAGATTAAATGATTAAAGAAATGAGAAAATGTTATATGTAAGAAGTGATAGGAAAAGAAACTGTGGCGTGTGTAGTAATATTTATTTGTTTTCCTTTTCCTTCGTCATCATTACACGAATACCTAGAAGAAAAAAAGAAAAGAAAAAGTTATGCCAGTATAAATTTGTGCGTAATAAAGAAATTCTACTGTTTTACATATTAAAAATTGATATATATTTTGTTAAAAAGATTAACGAAATATCGATTTCAAATAAAAGTTGAAATGAAGTAAAATAGTTATATTTATTTTAAATTCGATTCGATTCGATAAAAATAATTATATAACAATACAATTGAAATAAATATTTCAAGAATTGAAAAATATTCGATTTTCTTTTGGAACTTAAGAAAAAAAAATGACTACGATAAAGAACTATTTTCAGTGAGAAATAACTGTTTGATTATCTAGGAATCTATAAATTAATCTTTTATCAATTAGGTGTTAATAAATCAACTAATATCAAGATCTTTTACATAACTCTAGCAATCAATATATAATTATCAATGCGTTGAATACGATTGTCTTCATTTTATATATATATCTATGATAAAGAAATGAAGTAATTTAACAAACTGATACTAAAAAAACAATCATATAAAGAATAAATGTTCAAAAATGATTTACAAACAAATTTTGTTTATCTTTTGTATCTTTCATATCGAATGATTTATTTATTTTCATCATCTTGTTTTGTTTCTATAGTTTCCAATATCAAAGTGAAAGTAATTATCAAAATATATGAACTTTGTTCGTGATTAGAAAAAGAAAACTATGTGAATTATATCGCTTTCATAAAAAAATTCCACAATCGATAAAAACCAGAATTTTGTCGATCATTTCAAAATTCTAATTAAAAAATAGTCAAGTTAGCAAAGACATTCGACTGATTTTGTTTTTTTATTATATCAATATATATTAATAACTGAAAATCATCATTCATTTGATTATTGTTTGCAGTTAATTGATGTATTACATATTGGCGGAATGATAAGCCTAGGATTTTCAATAATATTTGTCTCAACTGAACAACAATTATCTTTTTTTTGAGACAAATTAGAAAAGGATGTTTATCTTCTTTTTCGGAAAGTACTAAATAAATATTCTAAAGATTAATAATTACTAGAGAGATATCAAATTGAAAAAGAACAGATTTCCAAGAGTCAATGAGAATTATACGAAAAATTCTCAATAAGCTTAATATGATCTTTTAAGATTAGAAAAACAATATTTTTTTATCATCAATATGTATTTGTAAATATTTAAAGAACAAATAATCAAGTGATTATTTGGGAAGCCATCGATTTTCCTTAACAATACAAGCAGTTATCAACTAGGGTTTATTCTTCGTAGTTGCCGGAAATATGTAAAAAAATCAGTTCATTATACATTTTGAAACAAAAAAATAAACAATCGAATAAAAACAATGCTGTCTTTTTAATCGTGTTACATATTTTTTTAATATTCTGCCACATAAAATATATCTAAATAATATTATATCTAATCACTTGGTTATCATTTAATAAAGATGAAAACTCATCTTCTAACAAATTAATAAATGTCTAAATTTATTCTTTTTCCTAGGCAAAAAAATTCTGTAAGTATGTTTATGATTATCGATGGTAGGAATACTCAAATAGAGTTCAATGTAGTATTTCTGTTTCTTCATTACTTCTATGAAAAAATACATAAAATATCAATAGCAATAGGATTCAGACACATCATCGATTAATTAAGTATTAAAATTTTATTTTATTTTTCCTTATTAAAATATTTCTCATAGATCATTACATAGAAATGTATTCGATACAACTCATATGTACTATTTATCTTAAATATTCCATTTCACATATCAACAAACTATAAATGAATATAGACAGACAAAGCAGATATTCATGCCTGTTCTACACTCTGAAAAAAATAGGTGTTTTATCGAACCTGTACCCAGGATAAGCACTTTTTTTGGTTCTGTACGAAATTGCTGAACTTAAAAAAGCTCCGTAATGTTCTCACGAAACTAAAAAGGTTCTTATTGTGGGCACAGGTTCGGCCAAACACCTGTTTTTATTACAGTGTACGTATCCAAACTTTTTCGAAGGTTTAGAATCAAATTTAGTTGAGATCTTCGAAAAGTTCTTTATTGTGGAATGTGAATAAGTTTCTTGGTTTAAAACATCCACACCCCACCCTATTCGTCTGAAACATTGATGAACAATCTTACTTAGTAATCATTGTTGCAGGATTATATACAAATATTAATCTATGTGAGATAGTTCAGAGAAAAAAATAAAGGAATTTAAGTAGACTAACAGTAAATAAAACATCTTTGGATAGTCTATAAAATCTTTTAAGAAATATTACTAGAAATATAAGAAAAATCTAGAATAACACTACAACTTATATCAATATCTATATCTTGTTATGAATTGACGGTGAAGAAATCTGTTGCTGATATTTTTGACTATCAATTTTTCTTTTAGCTATTGAAATAATTGTATTTTTGTTTCAGTATAACTAAGGATTTTAATCATTGCTCTAAATGTTGTTTTTATATCTCTGTTCATGTTAAAATACTCTTACATTTATCATAACGATAGAGTAATGTGTACATTTCCGTTAGCATGTGCTGGTTTCGCTCAGACTACATATATAGTTAATGCATCAAAGCTAAAAGAATTTCATTTCATGGCTTCGACCCTGTAATCGTGAGATTAGTTTCATATACAGTGAATTACTCAATACCTTCTACCAGGCATGTGACTTGACTAACTTTTTATGCAATGAGTAGGAATTGCGAGAGATTGGAGGTAGATTCAATTATTAACAAAAAAAATGATGAAATAACGAGTAAATCATATTGAATCAAATTAATTGATTATTTCTACAAAACTATGTACTTCATTTTTTTTAGAAAGAACGTTGCTTTTAGTTTCAAAGCAGGTAACATACTGAAATACGTTGTGCATTCCAATTGAGGAACGAAAAGTACCACATAGCTATTACAAATTTACTGAGCTTCAAAAAAAACGAAAGAATTTTCAATAGAGAATTGTCTATCTTTCAACACTTTAAACGATGGTTCCTGTAAAGTTTTAAGATACAGTAAATGAAAAAGACAAGAAAACTTTTTATATCCATTAAAAACGATAATATCACATTTTTTTTGTTATCCAAATAAGGATTTTCTATGGGTGTGGGTGTGGGTGTTGGGTGTGGGTGCTGGGTGTGTGTGTGGGTGTTGGGTGTTGGGTGTGGGTGTTGGGTGTGTGTGTGGGTGCTGGGTGTGTGTGTGGGTGTTGGGTGTGGGTGTTGGCTGCGGCTGTGGAATGTGTGGCTGTAGCTGTGGGGCGTGGGTGTGGATATGGGTATTACTTCTTTTCAGACTCACACACACACACACCACACTCACACCCACACCCACACCCACACCCACACACCCACACCCTCGTTTTTGAGAACTAAGGAAGAGAAAATAGACTTTTTTCTATTTTACTTGAAAGTTTGCTGAGTGCTAGTTGTGTGAATTAGAATATTCTCTCATAGCTCACAGAGGTTTTTGAAGATACTGAATTGTTTTATGAGTGATCTTTAAATGATGTTTCTTTAAGGGTAGGTATAATAGTGTGAAAAATTACGATTAAGGGTGATTCTAACCTTAAAACTACCTTGATAAAGCAGATAAAGTTAAAGTAAAATACATAAAAGTTTAACTTTGAGAAATGAGCTTATAGCGGATTTTTCAAGAAAAGGTTATTTCGCAAAAGAGCATTTCTTTCATTGAGACATTGTTTTAAAGATGATTTTTCACAAACAATTCCACTTTCGTCACATGCATTTCTTTATTTATGAAAAAATGATTCTTTTTTAACAAAAACAGTATTTCATTGCAAACATTTACTTTAACTTTGACTTAGAAGTAAGATTCTATGAGCGTTCCTACTAACAATGTGTGTTTCGAAAAAGAGCAATCTAACCAGAAAAAATTTGTTTGTTTTTACATGTTTGAAAAATATTTAGGCAAGAAGAGTATTCTAAGATGAAAACATTAATGAATCTGCTTTTATTTCAAGCTAAAATAGGATCCTTCCACGTAAAAAAAATAAATCTTCACTGTGATTGGAATCTAAAGAATTGGTCTCGCGCATCTGTAGCGTTTAGAATCTATAGAAATGTCTTTTTCAAATTGAATTTTACAAAAACAAGCACGGCCCTTTCAACTACAAACCGCCGAAACAGAGAAACTTCAGAAAATGTCTCAGAACTTCCATCACACAAGCATCTTTATGAGAACTTTCTTCCAATAAAAGCAACCAAGGCTAACGTGAGAATATATATAAACTATTACTTCACCAGACTCATCTAGACCACACATCCAACACCATTCACTATTTACAACCATACATACATGATTTTCTTAAGATGCAAGAACAAGAGGTATTTCTGAATTTATTGAGCTATAGAATTTGGAAGTACATAAAGTATCTGATTTCTTTTTTAATTCAGTTTTTTTTTCTTCTGAGTATTCACTTTGAAATCAAATGATCCGCAGTATGAGTCTTAACATGTTTGAAAAGTCTAAGTTTCCTACAGTATCGACGACAGTTTTTTGGAATTTTTCAGAGTAGGAGTCGGATTCCGGATGCAAAAAGTGGGTTTTGCAACCAACGATGTCTCGAGACGTCGTTCGAAATGCCTCGTGTAATGGTATGATTTCTTCTTATATACGGCATGCACATTCTATATAAGAAACACTACGATTATCTCTTTTAGTTTAACTTTTTTTCTGAATTTTATTAAATCCTAAGATTAAAAGACATAGGGATCAAATTCTTTTTTTCTTCAGTGTTGTTGAAAGTTTGCAGATCAGATCGCAAAATCGTAAAACATCCAACCAATTATTGAAAGATACGAGTTTGATATCTCTCTTGATTGTGTCATTCTATTTATCTAATGATGGTAGATAGATAAGGCATGTGGATTGAAGATGCTCACAATAGTGAAACACATAGATTTTCGCGGACAAGTGAAATGAAATTAGATAATTCATCTTCGGATTTACTGATTCTGTTTCTTTCTCGATTCATCTACTTTCAAATTCATCCTGCAGATATTACACCCGGTTTATTAGTAGCAAGAAATATAGAGAACGCTGAGTAGTACACTGAAATTGAAAATAATGATATTGAACATAAAAAAATACAATGATGACAATTTAAGTGTTTTCTTTTCAATCTCAATGATGAGGTAGGGTACAATGATGAAAATATCTGAATTGAAGCAAACAAGTAAGCGCGAATATCTCGTTACATAATAAACTGTTTCAGGTTCATCAAGCTACTTAACAGAGTGATGACTGTCAAATTGATAGCGGTCAAAGATACAGCAGCATTTCTGGTAGCAAGCTCACTACATGAAGGAGCCTTTGAATTGTCCATTTTAATTGTGCGACTATCTTGACTGAGCGTGACCAGAAGCGAATCGCTCATAAACTTGATTTCAGTGTTGAAATGAGTAGGCATCCAAAATACATCATCGATAGAGACATATGGCGAAGAACACTGGCCGGCGAATCGACATCGAACGTGCATGAAATTGTTGTTCACACGAGACACCATCACCTGTCCCGTAGGACAGCAACAGGTTTTGTGGTCGCATTTGTGTACGAGATCGAATAAACCGATCCAATTGGGTGTCGGCATGTAAGCCTGTGTGGATGTAGGACTGGTAAAAAGTATTCCATCCATGTACACGAAATTGTTACTACCTCTCACATCTATGCACCAGTAACTAGTACGAGACTTTCCATTTGCGCATTGCAACGGATATAAAGCTTGGCATCGCGACTGACAGGTTGGTGATGCACAGGATGAGACATTAATGGTACCTTGCAACGTTGTCGTACAAGAATTGCCAGCACAACACCAACAATAGCATGTAACTTCGTTACAAAGAGAAATATTGACTAAAGAGACAATGAAAATAATTACCAAAACAATTTGCTTATGCATGAAGATGTGATGTTGATAAACGAAAAGAAATGACTGCTTTATCAAGCTTGTAGACGCTTATATATTTGGCTTTTTGCATGAATACTTGAGAACGCTGATAAGATAAGAGCGTAGAATTTACTAGATTCTTTTTTTTTCTTCATGTAACAGGAAGTTACAAACGGAGGTACTCACATGTTAGAGAAATTGATGTATGACTTTTACGCTGACGTCTACATCATGGTGCCAAGCAATATGTAGACTACATCGATATTCGTATACTGAAGTTCTTATCGCGCATGTAGGCATATTGAAAAATACGTCAAAAGAGTGGATAGAGAGAAGGAAAAAAAATAAGCAGCGATAGGACAGGGAATAGATAATGAAAAAGGAAGAGAAAGAACAAAAATAAAAGATCCAGGCAAGCAAAAAAGTATTGAAGACTCGCAACATGTCTAGTCCGAAACGTCCACAATACCCGTCCTGTCTAGTCTAAAATACTGAATGTGGGCGTCATGACTAGTCGGTATTTTAAAAAGCGTCAGAGTGGCACGACAGGACTAGTCTAATATTTCCGAAATATGCGTCAAGACTAGTCTGAGATACTCTGAGGACTAGTCAATGTTTTTATGAGCTAGCATTATGACGAGACTGGACTAGTCCGAGATATTCTGAGGACTAGCTAATGTTTTATGAGATAGTTTGATGACGGTACTGGACTAGTTCAATAATTTTGAAACATATGTCTGGACTAGTCATNCGCTAATTGAGACACATTAAAAGTCCTTCCATAAACAATCATCTTTTCAATGGCAACTGGAAGGAATATTTCAATTCCTGGTACAATAGACAAGAACGTATGAAAACAACTATCAGTAACAAGTGGATGCAGATGGTAACGTTTATCGTTTTGTTCATCATTAGCTGGAGCAACTCGACCAGTCATTTGTGAGTTTGTGCTTTTAACTGATGTCAGTACTCTAAAGTTTGGACCATATTGATACCCTTTTGTAGAGAAATGTGAGTAGAGGTTAGGAACATCCAGATTATACCAGTTTGCTGTTTCTTCGTTACTGAATCGATAAGCTGACGAGGCATGAATGTTTAAATGAGGACCAATATCAATGCGACCTCGTGCATGCAGAGTACATTGATGTAGAGAATATTCATTCAATGTTTGCAGATCAACAAAAGAATCAATGAAATCATTGCAAGCCATACCAGAAGATCGTCGACAATCTAGTCCAGCTGCCGACCATGGTCGACTAAAAATTAACCATTCATGCATCGGCATCACAATTTGTGTAATAACTTCGATTAATTCGTGTTCTGAAAGAGCGAGAGCTTTGATAAATTCAATCTGTTCAAAAGCGATTGGTGGTGAAGTCTCTTCATCTTTAACTACTGGCAAGAGCTGACGACAGGCGGCTAGTGCCATCTCAAGAAATCCAGAAGCTGGAAAAAGAATAGAATCTTGCATTTTGTGCTGAGATAAATAGGCATATTCAGGTAGATTGAGATTGATCAAACTTTTCCATATTACCGAAGTATGATGAGTCCATTGACGAACACCAAGTAGGGGATGTAGAGGTAGACGATATGCAAGACGTTCTAGTGCAGATTCTTTTGATTCATACCAACAAGAAGTCAAGTTGAATGCATATAATGGAAAATTGTCAAATAAATGTTCCAAATCTTTACATGGTTGAACACATCGAGATGCTAAAAAGTGTTTCCATACATCGGGTGAGTATGAAAGTTGTGCAATGCTTGTTAACAATGTTTTCTGTTCATCCTCCTTACGTTTGAGAGTAGGCAAAATAAGTGGTTGAAATGTGGATGTCTTCTCGCAGCATTCATGTATTGATGTGGCCAAAACAGGATGTGGTGATAGTTCGAGGAAAGCATCAGCGACTCCATCTTGGATAATTGCTTGAATAGCATCACCAAATCGAACACATTGCCGAACATTTGACCACCAATGATGAGAGTCAAGTGGTATTTTATCTTCTATTCGACCTCCAATAACACTTGAATAAAGTTTAGCTTGTGCACAACGAACATCAAACATTTCTTGTGTATTCTCAAGAGGAAGACCTCGAATGTCGCCAAGTGTTGAAAGCATCTCTTCTCTAACACCGAAGCGATCCATCTGATGAGAATGAAATGCATTCTCTATCCTTAGTCGAGCTTTGAACACTGTCGGATGAAATGTTGTAAGGATGCTCTCAAGTTCATCGATAATTTTTTCATCACCACTGAGTGTTACTGAGCGTGGACTGTTGACACCAGCAATAGATACTAGATGTTCGATTCCTTTGAGTAATGAATCTCGCACTTCTTGTTCATTCATAGCAACAGCCAACATTCGACCACCCTGCCGAGTATTTCGATGTTGAAGACGCGATCTATTGTAAACAATACGAACTGCTTCATTCAATGAAACTCGTCCAGAGATAAAAGCAGCTGCTTGTTCTCCAGCACTATGAGATACGATTGCACTGGGAAAGATATGCCACGAGACAAGAAGTGCAGCAAGTCCTACTTGAACAGCAAATATGGCCGATTGTGCAATGTTAGTGTCATTGATACGTGATTCTTTCTCCGTCTTTTCAATCATTTCGTTCAGTAAGTTGTATTCATCACCATTGATTTTGATAAGTTCTTCATTAATTCGTTGAATCCATTGACGAAAAATAGGTTCAGATGAGTATAATTCTCGACCCATGGCCCACCATTGAGGACCCTGACCACTCAAAACAAAGCATATGCGAGGAAAACTTGATGAAATACGCTTGGTAACTAGTAGTCCTGGTGTTGATTGTTTTTGAAGAAAAATATCAAGTTGTTGTTGCAATTGAGCACGATTGGCTGAAACAAAAATGGCCAAATGCTCGTGACTAATAGTGCGTTTGAGCAGTAATTGTTGAGAAATGCGTGCAAGAAAAGAATGTTCATCATCCTGAGGTTCTATTTGTTTTAACCATTCATTAAATGATATCACTTGTTTGTAAAGTGAATCACTACTCTTTGCTAAAAGTCAAATACAGTTAAGAAGAAGTATATTATAGGCAACATACTCGAAAAGATAAAAAGATCATGTTGCTGTAGCAGCTCTCCTTCAACATGACCATTTGTATTGATCGATCTCTCTTTTGGACGATATTCTTCGATAATAGCATGAGCATTATTGCCACCAATACCAAATGAGTTGATGCCGATAGCTACTGGATGTTCATTTTCACCATCAATTTTGAGTGGAAGAAATGGAGTCATTGTCTGAACTACATGCAGATTGAACCGATCTGCTTCAATTTTCGGATTATAAGCTTTGAAATGCATGTTAGGTGGAATCGCTCTATGTTTTATACACATTATTGATTTAATAAGAGATGCAAGACCAGCTGCTCCTTCTGTATGCCCGATATTGCTCTTAACAGATCCGATTAATAAAGGAGGATCGAAAGGCGATCGTTGAAAGAATGCACCTATAGTATTTGCTTCTATTGGATCACCTACTTGTGTTCCTGTTCCATGTGCTTCAACATAGAAAATACGATTTCGATCGTACTGTGTTCTTGTATAAACTTCGTCTAGAAGGCGTGCTTGCCCGGCTGCTGCTGGTATCACAAAACTGTTTTTGCCTTCAGAACCATCGTGATTGCTTAAGATATCGTGCAGTACACAGTAAATTCTATCACCATCCCTTTCAGCATCATTTAGTCGCTTGAGAAGAACCAAACCTAGGCCCTCGCCTAAAAGGTAACAGACATTTTTGTCTTTGATCGAACATTTATTTATAGTCAAACCCTCAGTCTAAGGCACATCCTTTGAGCCACACTCAACAGAACTATATCATATCTAATACTATTGACATTTTCAGCTTACTAATAACTTCATATACATCTCTGATGCTACAATAGCACTTCAAAACAAATGGACTCAAAGCTTTACATCGAGCATACTTAGCACTTTCACGTTTTAGGAATTTTAAAAACTAAATTTCTTTACAAAAGCAATTTCTAAAATCTGATGACCCATCAACAAAATGAAAGCGTTTGTGTCTGAACCTAATACTCATCGTATAATGAGTTTTTAGTGAAATTATCTTCTGAAACCAAAANATAAACTTCGTCTAGAAGGCGTGCTTGCCCGGCTGCTGCTGGTATCACAAAACTGTTTTTGCCTTCAGAACCATCGTGATTGCTTAAGATATCGTGCAGTACACAGTAAATTCTATCACCATCCCTTTCAGCATCATTTAGTCGCTTGAGAAGAACCAAACCTAGGCCCTCACCTAAAAGGTAACAGACATTTTTGTCTTTGATCGAACATTTATTTAGAGTCAAACCCTCAGTCGAAGGCACATCCTTTGAGCCACACCCAACAGAACTATATCATATCTAATACTATTGACATTTTCAGCTTACTAATAATTTCATATACATCTCTGATGCTACAATATCACTTCAAAACAAATGGAACTCAAAGCTTTACATCGAGCATACTTAGCACTTTCACGTTTTAGAAATTTTAAAAACTAAATTTCTTTACAAAAGCAATTTCTAAAATCTGATGACCCATCAACAAAATGAAAGCGTTTGTGTCTGAACCTAATACTCATCGTATAATGAGTTTTTAGTGAAATTATCTTCTGAAACCAAAATGTTCTAGCAAAATCAGTTTATCAATTTTCAGCTCATAGTTTATTTCATAAATGCGTCAACTAGATGAGATATTACGTGAAACTTCTCTAAACTTTGAATATCCTATTTGAGACAAGAGTTGTTCGGAAATGAAATTTTGAAATATCTCTGAAACGGCACATGTGTCTTGAAAAAATCATTTCTCGAAAGATACCATTAGTAAATTCTGAAGCCTTAGATTTAAATTAGTCTAATTAGATCTTTATGCAGGTAAAGTGTGAATTTCATACTCAAAAGGATGATATTCACTGGTATGTGAAGGTCCGAAAATAAGAATGGAGATGTTTTAGTTGTCATTCTGCAATGCTCTCTATTGTATATTATAGAGTTATCAGTTGAAGAGTACAGCTCTGAAAGTGAACTTCGATAACTTAGTGCAAGCTGAACAGTCAAAATCTGTAAACAATGGCAGAATTTCTTATGAATTGAATTTGGTTGTGATAAACAAGTCGAATTTCATTCAAAAGAGCTTCTGATTTTTTTATTACATGACGCTACTGAATGAACAAATCTCTATGAAATGACAATTGAAATAATTTACTTATGATCAAGATTTGGTTTATTCCTCTAAAGACAACAAGAAAAGTCAAAAATAGAGTGCAATGTATCGAGTTTTACTTACATTGGGAGTTTCAGTAAGACGTCGCTCTCATGGAATACAAAATATGGTTACATTTTAGAGAACAAGAAATATATGCTGTCATACGATAAAATTTTAGAATATTAGCACTCTGATGTGTTCAAGTATGCTGAAATCAGTTTGACAAAAATCTCTTCATGATTTTCCTTTTGCAGCTCTCCAAGAAATATCGTGAACATATTCTCTAGATATTAAGTGCAACAGACATGTTTAGCCCCTAGCTTTATCACCGAGGAGCAAATGCTCACTTCTCTCTTCAACACTAATCTAAAATCTAATGACTTCTTACTCTTATTGTCTAGTAGAAACGCTATAGTATTATTACGAATGGATTCACACTTATTCAAGAAATAGTAAGACTTCTGTGACATCGATGAGTGAAAAGTTAAAAGCGAGATGTCAAAAGTTGCTAGACTTTTACATCTTACAATGAAAGAATCTAGATGATTATTATGACCAAAAACGTAATACGCTTTGAATCATCTTGCAGTAGTGTTATCTATACCTTTTGCATAACCATTGGCATCGACACTAAACGATCGACTTCGCCCATCAGCAGAAGAAGCGCCGGTAATTGAATAGTTGAGTATTTGCTCAGGTGTCATCACTGTATTAACACTGCCACAAACAGCCATGTCTGCTTCGCCTGTACGCAATGCTTGTACGCCGAGATTAATGGCTTGAAGTCCTGTTGAACAAGCAGTATCCAGAGATAAATTAGGTCCATGAAGATCAAAATGGTATGACAGGCGAGCTGATGCATTGTAAAGCAGTACGTGTGGACTGAGAAAACGTGTTCGCTGCTCTGGTTTAAGCCGAAGAGATAAATATGTATGATCGTTTGAGAATTGACCAATATGCACCGAAGTACGTGATCCACGCATTTTTTCCAAAGTATAACCAGCGTCCTCAATCAAATGAACGAATTTCATCATGAGAAGACGATGACACGGATCAATCGTAACTGCCTCTCCCTCTGAGAGATTGAAGTAAGCTGCATCAAAAGTGTCGAGAAGCGATGATGGCAAAAAATAACCACGATGTAAGAGCTTTTGTTTGAAATCACCATTATCTTGGTTGAGCATATGAGCACAATATGACAAGAAATCGGTTCGCTCGATAGGTATTTCACTACCCAGATCACGGCTTTCTTCAAGTGCCTGCCACAAATCAATGGGCGTATGGATGCCACCAGCAAATTCACAAGACATGCCAATTATTGCTATAGGCTCAAATGATGTAGCGCAAGCCATGACTTCTAAATGCTATTGATTACTGTAAGTAACAAATAAGTTAAACAAGAAAATGATCGATAAAGTACGTCTTGGATACGAATATCTGCAAGAAAGGCGAAAACCAAATTTTTAGAATATGTCTATTGAAAAAGAAACTGTGAAAATTGATGTACCATCATGTCATTCTTCTCTGAAATCAAAAGTTCATTCAATCAAAAACTAGCTCTTCTACCTAAAATAGTGAAATACAGAACCAGACAAGCTCTGAAATATCACTGTTGGTTCTTCAATAACCAAGATTTCACGATTTCCACTCTTCTTGGAAACGTCTTCAGCTGTAACAGAAGCCATAACACCAAGTGCATGCCCATGTGAATAAACTACTATAACGAAATTGATTTAATATGATCATAGCGTAGGCCTATATCAAAATAGTCGTTCGAAGGACTTCATCAGATAAGTGGAGAAGCCTGGCTGCCTTCTAATGCACTTCGAATTCTCTATCAGAAGAAAAATAGAGCTTTCATACTTGTTGTTATGCCATTTTTGGCTTTCTATAGAGTGAATAAAAGTATGAATGTGAGTGTTGACCTGCTTGTAGACAAAGAGGTGATCAACACCTATCGATGTCCACAGGGTTTTCGCGCTTTACGAGTTCTGTGAGCTCTGCGAGTTCTGACGGTTCCGTGAGTAACTTGATGTCTTGTGTTCTATTAGCTCTTTCCTTTTGTTAGGGTCCTCGAGTTCTTTAGGTTTCTTTGAATTCCTTGCTTTCTTAGATTCCGTAAATTTCTTGCGCGGTTCAGACAGTTAGCATAATAATTAGTTTGTTTATATCTGTATTGATCTTAGCGATTTACAATGAAGTTGAATTTTCAAGAGTTACAAGAGCTCAGAACTGACAAAACCAGGCACATTTAGCTCTGATAAGACATCAAGTGATTCAATGGAAATGCTTCATTTTGTATTCTTGAGTTTTGTTAATAGAGTCAAACATTTTAGAAACTCTTCTACTGAAATATGTGCTTTGAAACTCTTTACAAAACGCTACATTTTCGTTAAATAATATCACTAATTTGTTTTCTACGAGTAAAAACAATCTTCTAGACACATGATCACAAGTTTTTAAATTGATACCAATCAGAAATTCCTCTTACAGAATCTTTTAATTTTTCGATTATCATTTCTTTTGCTTGAACACGAATTCCATACGTATTTATCGTCTAATTTACAATTGACTCGAGGCATGAATTGAAATCATGTTCAAGAAAAAGAAAGAATAACTGACAAATGAACAAATTCCATGTCAAAAATGTCAGTTCGAAATAAGATTAGAAAATCATCATCATGTCTCTTAACTATTGTTTCGTCTCCTATGAAACACCATAGACACGTTAATTAACTAAAATGCAGTGTTTTGTAAACAGTTTCAAGATGTATCATTCTGTGAAAAAAGGTTCAGAAAATGCTCTACATCATATGGACAAAATTCGAAAATACAAAGTGTCACAGCACCACTAAATCTTACGAAACTTTAATCCATAACAGTTTAAGTAGGTTATATGAGTGTTCGACTCGGGTCAAACTTAAGGTCGGGTCGGGTCACAAAAAATTTACTTTACCTCGGGTCAGGTCACAAAAATATACTTTACCTCGGGTCAGATCGGGTCAGGTCACAAAAATATACTTTATCTCGCGTCGAGTCAGGTCGGGTCACAAAAATATATTTTACCTCGGGTCGGGTCACTAACAGTTGACCGATTTCGAACTTTTCATAAGACAAACGGCAATCTCAAATGAGATAATGATTTCTTTGTTTCGAATATTGAAAGAAGTTATATAGATACACTTAAAAGGTTGTTAAACTGTGGAAAAGACTCGTTTTGCTTGGCAAAAAATATCTTCGACCTCGGATTGGGTCGGAGCAGGTCACGAAAAATTGATCCATGTCGGACACTGTTATATGATTTATGGATTCACCTTTTTAGGGCCAATGTGCCTGAAAAAAGATTCCAATATCATTTTCATATGTATTGACTACAAATCGACGATTCGTATTAGATCATGAAAACTGTTCCGCGATACATCTTATACTGAACTGAAAAACCCTAAAGTACTCGTTTTCCGCTCATTCAATAAATTCAAACCAATAGTAATTAGTGGATCGATTCACCTACGAACATGTTCCAAGTAG